CCGGTTGTGTTCCCACTGCCTCATGATATGCAGGGGCCGTGGGGGATTTTGTTACCAGTGCCATCCCCTCAGTCCTCCAAAATGCTGAGCTTAAGCTACTAAAATTTGCAGTGGCTTTTTGCAGAGCAGTTCTGCCAGCTCAGTCACCACCTCTTGAAAGAAAACGTTGCATGAAGCTGCCCTGTGGTCAGGCCTTCAGCAAGGAAACTCTGCAGCCCAGAGGGGTGTTTAAGGTTTCTCTGGTCCCCAGCTGTGTCACAGTTTGCTCCTTTTGGGCATGACTGAGCAATGCCAAGTCACCATAAGCTGACATGGAACAAGTACTTTGCAGCCAAGCAAATAAAAATATCTGTACTCATCAAGTTTCAGACTTATTTTTATTTCTCTGAAACTTTTGTCAAAACCATCCCAAATAATGGATTCTTTATCTTCTTTTGTTATCTTTAGAATATAAATGGACTGCAGCACACTTCATACTGTAAACAGTGACTTTGACTGGCCTTACTCCAGCAGCAGCTGAACAAATATTTCTAATATGGACAACTCCTCTTTCTCAGATGGCCTGACCACATATTTTTATAACTCCCTGTCAGTTCTCATGTCTAATGTGGTCAGCCTGTGGAGGGAAGCTCCCAGAAAGGAAAGAATTCAAACATCACAGCTATCTTTTCAGTAGCCTTAACCAGAATGTACCTTCCTAGGAGCATCCCCAGAGAACCCATTCTGAACTCTCCAAGTTAAGGTCAATAGACTGCCGACAGCTAAGAGAGCTTCAAGAAGCAGATTGTATAGGAGATGTCAGCAGACTCTGCATAGGGTTATTGTAGCACGTGAGCCTTTTGGAAAACAGTTTGAGTAAGTCTGCTTAATAAAACAGGTTTGTTTGCACTGTTGTACCAAAATAATATAAGGGAAAATCTAATACTCCTAATTGTCATGCTAAATAATTATAGTTGAACGTTTTAGAATTATCTGCTGAAATAATATGAACATTAATAAAGAGGCATTGTTTTGATTCCTTTGTTCAACACAAAATATCTGAAATAGTTGAACTGTATTAAAAGTGCTAATGTAAGGAATGTATGTTTTCTTTGCTTTAGGTGTCCTATATTAAAGGGATTCTTACATGAAAAGGTGTGGAGGCTGTGTTACTTTCTAAACATAAAGAGGATTTTCACACTTAGCATTTTCTTCTTTCAGCAACATATTTCAGAATTCTGCCTTCTGAATTCAGCAGGATCCCTTGACAGACCTGCTGAACTGTTGTTCTGTGAGAGCTGACTGTGGTAACTGGCGTGGAGCTTTGACTGAGTATCCACCAAAAAAGCTTTAATTCTCATAGAAGCTGCAGAGCAGCTTGTGACACTGAATTCAGAGACTGCTCATAAACAGAAAGCAAACATTCAGTCATTAAATGAAAAGTATATCTTTTGATGGGTAAGCTATCCATTGAAGAGATCTGAAGGAGGGCAATTAACTGGCAATTTCTTGGTGACAGAAGTCTATGTGTACTTGTCTACTACCTCAGTTATGTTCTAAGGGAAATACTGAAGTGAACCAACTGCAGACGTACATTATATGTAATGGGAGAAGAGCAGAGCTGGAAAAACAGTACATGCTCCTGAAAGATAACCAGTAAAAAAAGAATGCAGCTCCCAGAGTTGTAAGCATAGTATGAGCTGTCTTGTTAATGCCTGTCTTCTCAAGCAAAATTACATATTCTTCCCATTCCCCTTTACATACTCAAATACTGTTAAACACATCACCTCTCAGTATTTAAATGACCACAATTATTTCACTCCTGTCTTATTTTGTAGAGCTCTAATTGCAACTGTTGCATTCCTCTGGTTCCTCTTCAGTTAGCACTGCTGCTAATAAAGACATGAAGAAAAAACGGGCTGCTGTACTCCAGTCTTTCAGTTCCAAAGAGCCTCTATGGTTCACTTCACAAATAAAACGCATGTGTTCCCATTGCTCTTTTCATGTTATGGAGCTGACTTATATTTAGTCTCGTTGCTATAAACATGCAATTCACTTCTACAAAAACAGACAGGTATTCCCTGGCCAGTATTTGAGCAGTCTGTTGTTCCAGCCTAACTGTAGTGCTTTGCACTTGCCTGCATTGATTTCATCTTAGTTCTCTTTCAGTTCATATTATCCTTTTGTTAAGATGTGCTGTTGACTACAGACTAATTAAAGCCATACCACACAGCCCGTTAAAAACATATTGTGTTTTTAACCGTCTTCTAAGAATGAGGAACTTAAACAATCACACTCCTTTATCACTTCCTAACAAACATCTCTTGGACCAATTGGATAATTTCATCTACATGGGATGAAAGATATCCAAACCCGTTAGCAGTTTTGTGAGAATTAGTGGCTGTGGAGGGAGTGGGTATGAGACATTTCCCTTCCAGAGAGGCACAAGCACAGGACTCTGCCCTGTTTGTGCTGGCTGCTGGCTAATCAGCCCACAAGAACCTGTGTGTCCGTTGCAGGCACAACGCTCCCAAATGAGGGATGAGTGTGTGCTCTGCTCGGCCCTGCTGATAGCACAGGGCCTCAGGGAGCACCGTGAGAGCTGGGGGAAGAGCAGGGATTGCCCAACAAGGGCTAAGAGCTAGAGCTACTGCCTAGGACACGTGGACATAGAAAGCCATGCTTTGTTATTTTGACTGTTCAAGGAAAACTCATTTCCAGGCTTTGACGTACTCTTACGGGGATGCTGATATGCTGTAAGTTGTACTGTGAACCAACAACTTGCTGTGTTTTCTGAACCAAACCATACATCTTCAAATAGCATTTTGCTGTTATTTGGAGAGATTGTTTATTTTGTCTAAAGGAGTGATGCATAGTTTTCTGCAGAAGCCTTATCGACAACATCTACTGTACATTCCTCTTCCCTTATCTGCCAAAGGAGTAAAATTGATTACCTAGATATAAGTAACCTTCTGAACATTTACAAAGGAGTAAGAACTCAAACTGTGTGTGAAAACAGATTGCTCCATCACTCTCTACCCAGAATAAGAGTAGAAGGCACGTGGTTGCATGCTTATGACCAAATGCAATAAAAGTTTAACTAGAAAGAAATATTGACCCGCACAAGGACAGGACAAGCCAAAGTATTTGAAAAAGCATTACTGAATAGTTTGCACTTTGTCCATACACTTTGCAAGTCTTTAAGCAAACATCTTTGTCCAGTTTTTTCTGCTCCTCAGCATTACAAAATTTAAAGCAGAAGCTCGAGGCACAGCCTTACTCTGGGAGCAAAATCCTCTTACTTAATCCTACAGAGCTTACTACAGCATGCAGGTAACAGCACCAGCACAGAGGAAAAAGTACATGAATACAGAGGCTAAGGGAGTACTAAGTACCAGCACACTAATACGAACCACTAGATTTTCCAGGATTAAGTACCAGAGAAATGCATGGGTGGCAAATACAGGTCCTGCAGGACGTGAAAAATGGTTGACTTTGAAGCAAATAGAAAGACAGTATCATGTCCACAGAACCAGTTTCAGAAAAGTTATGCCTGCTTCAATCTATTAATTGCACTTTTCTTCAGAAGAAATAATAGTTTTTACTTTCAAGTACTTCAGGTTTTCCTGTAATCTTGTGCTGTTTCAGACTTGTCATGAGTCTATGACTTGGCACTGATTCGGTAATACCTGCTAGTTTTTAATGCTGAACAGCAATGTAAGTTATTTGAAATGGAAGACTGGAATTGGCTGTACATTTCTGTTACAAACTGTTTGGCTTCTTTAGGAAGATTTATCTGCAAATTGTGATCTTCTGTAGATCAAGTTTAAAAACTATGTATTGCAACACTAGCAAAGCAGGCTCTGAAAGAAGCCTCTGCTCAGTATGAAAAGAACATAACGCTACATGAAAATATGTGGTCTTTGAGAACAACAGGAAATGAACACTTGGCCAATTTAAGCAAGTGAGCTAGCTCATTTAAACTGCAGGGATGGAATTCACTCTGATTGTCATCTTGTATTAAAATTCAATTTTTAGTCTCTGAAACATCAGTGTTAGGTTTGAAAAAACTATTTTAAAAATAAAACCAATTAAATATTCCAAGGCAAAACAATGAAGTATGTAGTACACAATATACTTGGCCTTCCATGGGCATGGCTTGCAACTCCACTATCTAGTGAGCAAAGCAGCACACCAAACAAGTGGAGCAGCATGTATCTTCAATCATCCTACCTTTGGCTTCTGAGCACTGATTTCCACAGAACCTTGGGAAACTCAGCTTTTCCAAATGAAAACATCTAACTTCTGAAAAACACTGACACCATCAGATGAAAAATCAAGGACTCTTTTCAGCCAAGATGATGTTATTAATCTACAAAATATATTAAGCAATACCATTAGAATTCTTTTGTCGTACCTGCAGGGGTACACCTGCAACAGAGTACTACAGAGTATTCTAACACTACCCTAAGTTTCTCAGTGGCAATGAATATGAGCAATCCTTGAAATGGAAGTAAGTACCTCAACTTTAGCACGGACATTTTGGCAGCTCCTACTATAAAATGACGAGTGACTGACCCTCCCACTACCAAGTCTGACACATGCAAAACCTGTAGTTTTAACTCCCTACATTCTAATTTCAACAGAGGAATAATTAAGTATTCTAATACTAAATAACTAATAATTCTAATTTTCCCAGCGGAATACCATAACTGAGGACAAACAAAGATATCTTTCTCAACAACTATCCAGAGTAAAATGGAATTGGTTCAGGAAAATCCCATTAAACAAGTGCAGTACCCTTCCTAAGGCTGACTACACCTTATATGGCAAGCACAAGTCCTGTACAAAATATTCAGCTGAAGTATTTTTCAAGATTAAAACCAAAACTTGCTGTTTCCTTCCCCCTCAGTGCTATTTGTTAGTGTTTCCATCCCATCACTATGGAAAACCTTCATCTATGATAAGAGTATTAGATGTAGCACACCAAAATGAACACAAACTGAATAACACAGGACAAATATTTTTTAATGCAAATTTATTCATTAGCTTTAACAAGATTAATACATAAATCAATACTATGTCCAGCATAAGGTTGTATAACAAAATAGGCTATTTTGGAAATATTGATTTCTAGTGTGTACATTTTAAGGGCAGTTTTCATCCAAATCAGACATATTTAAAAAATAAATAAATACAAGGCCAAAAATGCTTACTTAATGAAAGTCTTGCTAAATAAGACTTCAGGCTCCACATTGCTTCAAAGCACTAATCAGTACAGGTGTCTGTGTACATTTTTAAGACATACACATTGTTGTGCCCAAGCAGCATTTGTTTCTTCAACATCTCATTCCCGATTCGGTCCAAAGCATACTACATTTCCAATTTGGACCTCATTACTCCTCACAAAAGCTAGCATCCATGTTGCTATTCTGTCTTTTAAGATTGTCTTGCCTTCCAGTAACATACCTACACATACAAATCCTAGGAACAGTATGTATACAAAATATGAAGGACCAGCCCCCTCCCAATATTACTTCTTTGGTTTGAGATCCAGGCTACAATACTTAGTGGGACTATTTGTGAAACAAACCACTGTTCTACTGAAATAAGGCTACTATGATTTTAAAAAATGAAAACACTTTGACAAGAGGTAAGAAGCTCCCAGGTCTATTTCCCTGTGTATTCCTGGGGGGCAGCCCCCAAGAAACTGTATTTCTACCTTTGTTTCCCTGCAGGACAGCTTGTCCATATATATATGCTGGCATTTAGATTTTCTTCAAAGTACAGTACAGAGACACCCAGGCTATCTTTATTTATATCAAGCGATATTAAAAATTGATCCAAATTTATATTATATAAACAAGACAACAAATTTGGAAAAATCAGACATTTACTACTCGGAAATTCCTTACTGGTTCAACCCTACTCTTCTACCACACACTGTAAAGTTAATTCTTTAGGCATCTGTATTCTACAAATCTAGATAAGCTTGTTTTATTTTTCTTCTGACTCAAGCTCTGCTGACAGCAAAGTTCCCTTTTACCTTAAGAATTTACATACAGGATTGTCACAAATTTTAAAGCTCTTCTGATTTACACATTTTACCTTTATTACATTAGAAGAAAATCCAAAAGCTTGGTCAAAATACAAACAATTATAAACCTAGTAAAAACATCCCTGAGAACCTTTCAGTGACATATCAGTAATGATTGGTTTTGGTCCATTAGAAGAGAAAATTTACTAGTTTACAGTTCTAGAACTCTGAGGGCTACATGTGGGTTTTATATTCATTGTCATTCCCCTTGCAGAATACTGTGAGACAAAAGCCACTAGAGGTTTTTTTACATTCCATTTAGGTAATTGTTACAAGTTTTGAGATGGCCCAGATACAGCCCGATATAATGCCTTGAATGGTAATGGAGTTCACAGTCTTACATCCCAGGGTTGAGGTTTGGCAACACAGATGGCTGTGTTAAGGACGGTACCTAAAATAAAAACCTTAAAAGTGATGTTACTTAGAAGATGCATCAGCAACATGTGAAAAATATCCTTTATGGTTTTGCATATTTCTTATAACTTCACAAAGGAACATTTCACAAAGATCTATATTTAGAGTCATACTGTCCTACCATAGGAAAACTCAGAACATTAGAAGGTTCAACTGTACTGAAAAAGTGCTTAGAATAGTTTTCATAAAAGTGCACAAATGGCTAGTGACTCTAAGAGCATTGTGTTAGTACACACGTAGGGTCAACTAACACAAGAACTTCTAAATCAGAGGGATAAATCATTCTCTGTTTCTTTTAAGCTGCTTTAGAGGGCCACACAATCCAACATCTCACCAATTTGTTCAAAACAAGTCAAAGCTCACATAAACGTAAAACAGATAAATGCAAGCAATCCATCTCTTCTGCCTGGAATACACATTATTTTCCAATACCTAACACTTGAATAGGGTTTCTGAATACAATAGCTTTTGAAATAAACTAAAGCTGCTTGTACTCTGAGGCAAAGGCTAAATTAGCCCAGACTTCAGCTTTTCTGTACCAGTACTCCTGACCTTAGTACTCTCTGCTACATCAAACCTGAGCAGACCTGTCATTGGCAACTAGAAAAAAAAAAGCCATGCTTTATAATGTTACAGTATATTAGTAGCTTCTGCTAAAATGAGGTTATGTTCTACTTTATGAAGTGCAACACTGTAATACAATATCTTGTACCTATAGTTACTCTAACTTTGAGGAAACATGCAAAAATAACCCTACACAGGTGTTTCTGTAAAGTTAAACCGTAAGAAATACAATACTAGACATTTCTTCTAGGAAAACATCAGAACAAATGGATCCCTTCAGGAAACCAAGAAGGACATTTTAAGCCTTTTGAGAAGGCAGGAGGGCAATAAATGGAACGAGAGATGTTTACGGAAAGGGGAAGGACAGAAAACCAAACATGGTACATCAAGCTTTTCTAAAGCAACTAAAAAGTCTTTTTTGCTCAATGAGCAAAATAACTGTTTGGAATTCATGGAAAAGTACCTATGTTTAACTGTTAATGGGTATCACGGAGGGCAGGGCAGAGGAACAGATTCAACATTATCCCACAGTAAATACTGAATATGACATCCAGCTTTCCTTTGAAACACCAGATGTCAAGATGCAATGGAGTTGTCTCTGGCCAAAAATGAAAACACTTGTGTGGGCTCCTTTAAGACCAATGAGTTCTCTTGGGAAGGCTTCCTTACATGTTTAAGTTATGCATTCAACTCTACAGAAACACCTTAGGCACGGTCACAAAAGGCAATATGTGCTTAACCATGATATTAATGTAGGACATTACTACAAGAAGTGGATCCTTTCAGACAGTAGAGGTATTACCAGGCAGTGAGCTATCAGAAACTGCTTCAGAATCAGGAGTGCAACAAGCAAGAAGTTGTTTTCCTAGGCTTTTCTGAGCAAATCTGAAGTACATTATGTGGCCCATCGCAACAAAAGACACAGAAATAAGCACCAATAAGCCAAAAGCTTCTGGATTGGGGGCCAAGATGACCATGATGAAGTGCAGCAGATCAAGAAGATAATTCATGGAGTTTTGGACACCGTTTATGATGCCTCTTTCAGATTCTGCCACATTTTCTTGGAGCAACTGTGTGACAGTCAAATCAAAGGACCAAAGGCCTATGGAAGAAAAACACAGTTAGCCATCTAACAGAGCTTCTCAAGGTAAGCTTTCATTTATGATACAACCGAATTCATGCTTAGGAACACTCACTACTGCTAAAAATACACAAGTCAGGTCAAACTAACCTCCCTTCAGAGTAGAATGGATTTCACACTGGCACAGCCATGAGCCATTTATTTTCCTTTAGTAATGTCTCCTGAACTAGAATTAACAGTTTGACACATCAACTTTCCTGTCACATCTTGCTTCATCACATCTATTAACAATGTTCTGCTCATCAGTAATAGCTATTTTACAGAAAGTTTACCATGCAAAACAATTCCTACACATGACCTAAGTATTTTCCTTCTGCAAAACTTATCAAAAGCCACAGAAATTCTTACAGGGTACAAAGGTTCTACAATACTAGAATACTTGTCAATTAATTAAATAATAAAAAAAAGCACTATCATTCAAATCAGAGTTTCCTCTTCTGAACTCTTGTTGCTCACAAGTTTAAAGATTAGACCATTTATTCAGTGGACTAATTTGGTAAACTGCAAAAATCAAAGATATTTGTTGCATAGATGTTTGGATCTGTTTCCTATCAACAAATTGTTTCATTTGATTGGGAAGAAAAGATGATCTTTTAGGAGGTGAGTTTTCAAAAGAAAAAGTCACCTCCAAGCATGACATTTTTTCACACTAGAGTAGAATGATACACAAGAAGTTAGAAGTGCAACCTCTGCACCAGCAATACTAATAAAGATAGTTTCAATTGCATGTTAAATGTAATTAATTCATCTCACGTTTGTAATGCAAAACTTCCACTGTAGCCTACAGTTCTAAACTCAGATTTGCATTTCACTGACAGGTTTTGTAGGTTCTAAAATTAAAAACTTTCAATATGTCAGATGTCAATAGTGACATAATACTCACCAACTCTAGCAGCAATGACTCCTGCAAATAGGAGACTAACAGAGATTAAAGGCACGGGCTCAGGACTCATCTCTGGGTCAGTGTTAGCAGGAGTAGCAGACCCGTTTAACAAGTTGGGCATTCCAGTTGCAAAAGCCACTTCAGGCTCACCTCCTGGAGATGCAATAGTAGGTAATGGCTCATTTTCAAACAGCCTGGCACTGATGTCAGCAAATGGGGAAACAGTCAAATCCAGAGGACTTCCAGGCATGAATACAGAGATGGCACATAAGACCAGACAGGAAAACTGGGCAATTCCAGAAATAAGGCCTGTACGGATCAGGCCACATTTGCGACGAAGCCAAGTGAAAGCTACTGTTCCCATGATTCCAGTGATTGCTGAGGCACCCATCAGGAGGCTTAGCACAGAGCCACTCAAACCCTGAGTGTATGCATAGCCTGTAGTAATGCAATCAAAGCCCAGAACAGTCATATACAGAAATGCAAGACCCATGCCTGCAAGAAACACAGGCTGGTTGTAGTATGCAACCCATCCATCACGAAATGTGATGAAAGGTTCAGCAATTCGGGCAGCGCAGCCGACTTCCTTCTCCTGTTGGGGCTCAAAGCCAGCTACATCTTTCTCAACAATTAACTGCACTCCTTCAGCAGGTTTCATGTCATTCTCTGCAAACAGAAATGCCATTGTTAGATACATTCCTGCCCCAAAACTGCAGAGTATGAATTGCAAGACAAGTGTTTGCACTAAGTTCACCGTTTCAGAAGAGCATCAGTTATATTTGGTAATCAGTCTTCCCCTACTTAGATAAAGGTCTTAAATCTGACCCATACAGTATGATTAAGTCAAGTTTCTTTATCAGTTTAAATTTCTGCTTCTTCAGTGCAACTCTGGTAAGAACAAAGCACACTGAAGAATGCTTCAACTGACACACTTGTTACTGAATGCTCTGTTTCCATAAGGAATGGATTTACTTCATGCACTTTAGCTAGCATTAGATGGTATTTTAATACAGTTTTGTAAGCTTAAATGCACTAACCAGAGAAAGAAGGAAATACTTAAACATGGTGACTATCATGTTATGGTAGTATAGCATTGAATGACATAGCAAGAATAGTGTGGATTTGAACAGTTATATTTGTACTTCCGATACCTTTCTTTACATTCAGTTGTTTCAGTTCTGATTCTTCAACTTTTGAACACTTGAGAGCCAGAGTAGGAGTTTTCTGATAAACCTTCCATAGCAGTAGGTATTCCACGCACATCGACATCAGGTTCCAGCCAGAAATGAATCCACAGCCAATCATTGGGGAGCCAAATGTCATTACCTGACCAACTGCCATCGGGGCCAAGATATTGGTCAGCTGATCAATTCTTCGTATTGTGGCATTCATATCTGTCAGAACAATTTATAAGTTGCTGAACATTTATCACAAAATATTCACCAACATATTTGAGAATTACACATACACACACATCAAGCTAAAAAGCCTTGACTCAATTTCAAGTGATTTCAGTAAGAATAGAAATTTGCTAGAGACTCCTTTAAAGTGTTCCAGCATCTGAATTAATATTGAGACCAATCCAGGTGTTCCTGAGCCAGATCTCTCTGCTTTCAGTTTTGCCTAAATCCATGTTCAGGATTCTGGGTATAGTGTGGAAGCATCTTCCTGCAGGTAAATGAGTGTTTCACAAGACCAACAGCTAGCCTTACATTCAAATGACACTATGAAATCCTGAGTCTCTCTAATGTGCAAACACAATATATACAACTCCAGAAACCATACACTGTAGAATTCATCCCCGAAAAGATAATTTGAGAAACTACAGTCTCCTCCATTTATTTCTAATAACTGGTGACCACAGTACCCAATGTGATAGCAGCAGACCTTTGAAATGGCTTTCAATTTTCTTATCGAGTCACGTTGCTAGATGGCAGCTGTACACTTACTCAGAACTTATTGAGCAAAGTCCTCCCCCCCTTCTGTTCCACATTTGGATGTCTATGGTCAAAACAAATAGTCCGTCCTTAGCATGAATGCATCTTACATTTGGCTAGGAAGGATGAGATATTTGCCCGCAAATCAGCTTCAGCCATGACACCCTCTAAGCTGCCTCAGACTTCCAGTGAATGGTGCCACTGCCCTTAAGAGCTGCTGAAGGCTCTATGTTTTTTTGCACATTGGGGCTTTGGACTGCTTAGAAGTACAGAAACTGATTTTAGAGTCCTATTACGAAAACAAAGCTTATGAAGGGAAGATGAAATTAACAATACAAAGCTGCTTTACTAAATCTGTCAAGAACTGTTCCTTATCATTCAAATAAATGGTTAGGTTATTCAATATAGAATTCCAAGTCCATTCAATACTAACAATTTCACTGATATTTAAGTAAGATGAACAAGTTAGAGTCTTGCAAACTATTTGGCTTCAAAAGCTCCAATAACAAAGCTTTCTTTTATTAGGATAATGTTAGTACTTCCAAACTCAGGAGAGCTACAAAGTAAACTGGGTGAATGAAAAAAACAATGAGAAAGAAGGAGCAGCCAAGGCAATTAATACTTGCCTCTTTGACTGGGATAACTAGGACTGCTCTTTGAGGAAACCTAACAGTGCAGCGTTGAACAACAACATCTTCTGCAAAGTCAACACTGGCACTTTTTTATTTCAATTAAATGTAATTTGAAGATCTCTTATGATTCAAGATAAAACAACCCTATCCAGCCTGAGAGAAACTTGCTTTTAAACAGATTGGTGAACCAAGGTGCTTAGTTTTTGCTTTCTTATATTGTTTCTTAAATTGAGTTGCAAGAGAATTTCCAGTAACATCTGCCTGAATTTTCAGTACAGAAAGTAGTGGTCACGAAACTGTCTGAAGCTGTGAAGGAACACAGAGGCAGGATTGCCTCCCATGCAGCAGTTCTCTGCAGGTGTGGCCTATACCTTATCTCATATGCAGGTGTACAGGGTTTGGAGACATGATTTGCTGAATAAGAATTAACACAGGAAGAAAGGTTAATGAGAACCATTGGAACTTCAAAGCTCCTAAGGACAGATCAGATTTTTCCATTTGTGATTCACACACATAGAGGAAGTTAATAATATTACTGCTCTGCAAAACGCATGATCTAGAAAGGCACTGCAAGATCAATATAAGACTTCAGTGGAGAACTTGTCTCACTTTCATTTCAAAGTATACACTTCATGCAACTAAGGGCTGATCTCTCCTAGATGCTTTGGTAAAGTAAAATTCCTTCCTTAGAGATATATTAGAGATTTATTCTTTATGAGTAATTTAGGCAGTTTCCTACAAAATTAAAATCCAGAAGCTGAAATGTTGCCAAGCTTAGAGGTATCCAAGCTCCAGAAGCATCTCGGACTTGGAACTTTCAGTTCCCTTGTTATTTCAAGGAGCTATAAATGTCTTAGCAGGTCAAGCTGCTCTATGCCTTGCTGGCACTTCAGTATCAGTTCCTCTGTCTGGGAAGGCTTTTGCCTCTGTACTGGAAAAATTCAGAGTACACCCAAGTTCATCACAAAAGATGCCACTTCCCAGGCTTACGTTATTTATCAGAGCAGCAGCACAGCGTAATGAACACCAAACTGCAGCAGGATTTGCAGAGGAATTCTTTCGTTCCCCTAATACTGCCATACCACTGTGCAAGAAAGGGGGAAAAAAAGGAAAAATATTTACAATGCCAAAAAAAGATGAAGTCTGGACTCTTAGTATCAAAAGGTATCAGATATCAAAGGAATACTGAGTATTCAGATACAACCGAAGAAGTTTTCTTAGGGAGTTCAACACTGTATGCTAGAGAAAGATGAAATTTCAGATATAATTGTATGCCCAGTATTTCTTATCTGCAGCTTCCCGATCCATGTACTTTACTGTTCTGGACTTCATTCCTATATATCTCTCTTTGATCCCTATGTAAGGAGCCCAGTTACACAATACAGTTTATTCCAGGGACCTAAAAATAAAGTATTGCAACACTTGGCTTTCAGTTCCTGAAAGTTAAATAGCTTTCCTATTAAACACTGGATATTTGACTTAAGAGTGCGGTGCATGTTTATTTAGTCAACAACAAGAAAGATTTCCTGTGACAAAGCTGCAGTTGGACTAAAACAAGGACAAAAGTAGTTTAGGGCTACCAAACTGTTGTAATCACAACAGCAACTTCTAATCTCTGTAAAAATAGTTCAGAGCACGGGGTGAAATAAAGGCTGCTCTTTTTTTAATTGCTGTTTTCTCATAGTACCAGGAACTCAAAGGTGCTCTATCCTCCATAAAATTCTAGTCTGAAGACAATCTTGGAAACAGACAATTTAAAGTATTAGAAAGGCAACGCATTTCACCTGCCAGTTTGCTTCTGTCTTCCCCTGCAACCACAACAATCCAGTCCCTCTGAATTGTGATCGCTGTGGCAGTGCTGGCCAAATTAGCAATATTTGCTATCGTGATAACCAGGATATAGCACATCGTCTAGAGAAATGGAGGGGAAAAGTCAGAAGGTGAGAAAAGTGATAAAGGGATCTTCACTCCTAGCTTGTAAAACCAGAAAAGGCTTTTTTTTACATTTGAATCATATATTCTACTCTTACTGTTCTACTGTTACTCTTCAGACAACATGATCAGGCCTGCATTATAGTTCCTAAAATAAAACAGTCATTTGTTTTCCTAACTAGCTGCAAGTTTTATTTGTCATTTACAGCTCGCAGGAACAAAACAGATAGAGTAGAAAAATAAAAACTCAGTCTCCCATACTCCAATAAAGTTTTTCATACATTATTTCCTTATTAACAAATTTGAGCACTCACAAGAAGCCATCCATGGTATAAGGTCAAAAGCTGTGTCTTAAACAAGAAGATAATCATCAGGATAATACCACACAGGATGACAGATGCATTCTGAACAACCAAGGATGTCTGGGCCACTGTTTTAAATCAAAACAGAGAATAACAATCATTAACATTAAAAAATTAAACTTGGAGAAATTCTAATCAAGAAACATGCAAAGATTCTTTATGCATTTTTAGCTTCCTATTCTGCTCAAATATGAGATACAAACGTATTACATTCTTGATTTTGGATTTTCAATTGTCTTAGAAAATCAGCTTATGTCTGATGCAACTTCACAGCTAAAGCAGTATCCAATTAAGCTTTCCCAGCCAAAAACAAAACAAGAAACAACTATTTAGGTGCTGACACTGTTTTAAGGGGATAAAAGGCTTAGCTTAAGCTTCTATAATTTACCTTCAGCATAGCATGGAAGTGATTCTATCCTGTAAACCCTTGGCAAGTGCCAGCATGTATGAAGAACTTGTTATTACACTCTAGTCTAGTTTAAAAAAATACTTTATCTAAGTGAAAACATACAGCATTTGCATTAAGTGGAAGATGCTTTTATCTAGATAGAAGACACATAACACATGCCATGCTAGTACTAAACTGTGAAGAACTTCAGCTGTAGTTTTTACTTTAACCCATGGCCCTATATTTCTGTAACTCTACACACTGTACAAGCTCACGTAAATAGCAAATACCACAATCAAAACCACCCACCTCCTGTCTTTGAACCTTTTTTTTTTTTTTTTATGATTATTACCACTCTCAATCACTATCCTCAATAAGCTGAGCAAGCCCAGTTCTCATACTTGATTTCAGAAGTAAACTCTAACAGCTTTGCCTTTTGACACTAATTGAGTCTGCCCTTAAGTAAATAGCCTTCTTCGGACATCTAACCTTTGAGCCTCGAGTTCTTGTCCACCCAGTCTCCAATAATGGCTCCCAGAAGAAGAACTGATCCCGCCACAACCAGTCCATAGACTGCAGTCAGGAGCAAGCTGTTTCCATAAAGTTCAACCAGGAATACAGACACAGCAAAATGCCACATACGATCTCCCTTTAAGAGTAACAAAAAGTACACACACAGCATTAATATTCATACTTGTCAAGCATGCTAATTGAATATTATACTAATGCCCTGAAAAACATCTGTATGAAAAGTATCAGGTACGTTTCACACACAGGGGTAGGCTTTTTTGATAAATGCATCCTATTATTATTGATTTCATCCCAGCACCAGTAACATCATCTGTCCTAATCAAATGCAACACAAGGTTAAGCTCAAATGTAAAAATTCTATATATTTGGAATTCTTGATAATACAGAACCATGTCTGCTACCAGCCACACCTAACAAGACTGAAAACTCACGCAAAGCCTCCAGCAGAGCTCACATCACCAACAGATTTAATGGTTATCAACACAATGTAATACTTGATAATACTCACTCAATGCTTTTTTAAACAACAGCAAGTCAAGTCAAAGCAAGTCACAAGTCAAGGGTTCAGTGTTGTCCTCAACATCCCTAAAAGTTAACGTCAGTTTTTTCAGCCGTGGCCAACACTGGTGTATTACTAAGAAATCAAATACCAAAGCTTGTTTGGCCTATAGCAGTACTTTTGCTTTCAGTACAAAATGTGTGTATTACTGTACCAAAACAGCAAGCAGAAAAGAAACTCCAAAAGCTGAATTTGTGTACATGACATAATTTTCATACTATTCAAAACACCTTCAGATCTGTTACCAAAGAGACCTGTGGCTTGCTAATGAATACATCAAGATTTTCACACTGTCATAAAGTGGGAGTCAGAATCTCACATTTCTAAGCATTTATAAATACAGTACAGAAGTGCTTTATCTACTCTAGGACTGTTTGTTTCATAAGGATACCTAGCAATGATCTGACATAGATAAGAGACAAGACAACAGAAGAGTTTTATCTAAAAGAAGCAATTGCTATGTGAAATAGCAAATAGTACAAATTTCTAAGAACCTCAAATAGTACCATAGAATCATTAAGGTCAGAAAAGACCTCTATGATCATTGAGTCCAACTGTGCACCCACGACTAATATTTCCCCACCAAACCACATCCCTTCATATAACATCTAAATGTTTCTTAAACACCTGCAGAGATGGTGATTCTGTTACCTCCCCAGACAGCCTTATTCCAGTGCCTGACCTCTCTTTTAAAGAAGCAGTTTTTCCTAAAACCCAACCCAAACCTCCCTTGCACAACCTGAGGCTATTCCCTGTTGTCCTATTGCCATTACCTGGGAGCAGAGGCCAACCCCCATCTCACCACAATTTCCTTCCAGGTTGCTGCAGATGGCAATAAGGTCTCCTCTGAGCCTCCTCTTTCCACACTAAAAAAGCTAAAAGATTATTCTAAAGGGATGGTGAAGAAGATGTCATAGAAAACCACGTACAAAGCAGAAGTCCGACACATCTAACTATCAAGTAATGCAGCAATAAAGAGATAAGTTATGTACTATTTGAAGGCTCAAAATAATTGCAGATAGTTTGATTAAAGTCTTCAGCGTAGCACAGAGACATGCAAATACTTTGGCTTGTAATGTTAACGGAGTGATCTGAAGGAGGTTTCTTCAAACTGTGTAAACACATTTCTTTAGCCACGGGCAGAAAAAGAACTGTATCCCAATTACATGAGAACCAAATCTCATGCAGTTTTGGTTAGAATGATTACCTCCTTGTTAAGCTGGAAGAATAAGTCATAATAATACACTTACATTCAAATTTCATAATAGAAGTTGCTGTCTTTTTCTTTACACAGAGATGTTTCAGTTGGTGAATTTTGAAGAGAAAGTAACTTAAGCACTGAAGTGCATGAAAGGTAGCAGCAACAGCCATTACTGTCAGAGGGAGAAACCCAATTTCATGCCATATTCATAGGAAGATTCCCCTCATTCCAGCGAGATCATGATTCTGCTCCACAACTCATTTACAGAGTCTATGAACTCTCTTCATCCCTAACCAGCATTTACCCAGAGCAATGTGGCCAGGCCAGCCACAGTGCAAACTTCCAACAACTACAGCTACCCCTACCTGGAAACACAAGTTTTCTTCAGGAACTAAAAGGCTTAAAGAGCAAGCAAGATAAGTCAGCATTGCAGAAGAATAGAATTAGCAAGTTACAGAGGTTTTAAGCTGGGATGCAATTTCAAGCTAAAACTTATTTTCAACAGTAAGTACTGCCTTCAGAAATTAGTAAAACCTTAAATAAATCAATCCTACTTCCCATAACGTGAATATGTGAATATTTCAACTCTAATATAACTACAGCTATTCAGCCTCACCAGCCTCTCAAAGACACATCTTGCTCTTCTGTTGTTAGAATTCTGTTACCCAGCCAGACCGAATGTCTGTAACACTGCCCCAGACCTGAAGACAAGCAGCACCAGGCGGCTTCCTGCTGACAAGGCTCCTGAAGCCAGGAGAGCCATGGACTGTGCTGAGGAGTCACCACAAAACTCTTGACAAGTGCAAGGCCCAGCATCGCCCAGCACAGACAGTTTGATTCTGTTCCTTTAGTCCTGAGCACTCCTGACAGGAATGAGTTAAGTACCTAAAGGCAGCAGCAGGAGATCTCAGACACCAGTTCAGCAAAGCCAAGCACACATTCAAATGTTTTACTTACAAGAGCCAAAAAGATATGCAATGGTTTGCTCAAATTTGAAGAGGTGACATTTAATCATTTACAGCTTCTCTGTATTTGGGAATGCCTTAGTAACAAGGAAACCAAATAAATTCTCTCAATCACAGCAAAACATTTCCACTTGGGGACATAGTTTAGAACAAAGATACACAGTAGTTTAAGTTCTGAAGAGATTTGGGTCTCTTTTTTTTTTTTCTTCCCCTTTGATGGTGGTGTTTAAGAAAGGTTTTCAGCACAAAGGAAAATATACAGGAATGAGGAGTATACTACTAACACTGCTAGCCAGCTGAACAGCCACCCTGCAGCCCATATCTGTCAGAGAACATGCTCTCTGCTTCTCAGCTCCCCTCTGTCACCTCTTCTGGCACAGTGGGAGTAGCCTCACTGCCCAGCTCCAGCAGGCTCCCAGCTGGGCTTCCAGCACTTCCAGCTAAGCAACTTGCCGGCATTACCAACAAGCTGCTGCAGTTAACAGCCCTGGACTCTACAGAAGAGCAAACCAATCAAACACCATCACATAGCTTCTTCATTAGCATTAATAATTGCTAAGATACTGTCCTTATTTAAAAAAAAGCATCCAATTCTGCTCCAAGCAGAAAAATCCTCCCATTAACAGAAGCAACAATATGATCTGTTGAGCTGGTGGAAGCATGGTGCTGCCAATGGGGCACATGGTAGTACAGCTGTGCATCAGCAACCTGCCCTGTGCTGCACAGAGCACATCACCATCCAGCCCACAGGCAAGGCTGGAAAAAGAGCAGGAAATGATAGGGGAAAATCACCCACTTCTTCTTGAATCAATCCAACTGAAGCAGACTTAGGATTATATTACAAGGTTATATGGATTCTTGATTTTATTATATAGAATCAGATTCTCTATTTTTTATTTGTGGTTTAAGATTATTGAACTGTAACCTCAAGTTAGTAATAACTGGCACAGTAAGCTGCTTTAGTACACAAAGAAAGCATTTCAGCAGGTAAGTGTTTTGACAGAGCAAACTGGCACTCAATAGGTTTGCTACCGAAACAAAGTGTTTCCTATCAGTAAGAGCAGGCAGTAGGAGCCCTCTGAGTCCACGGTACAGTGGGTTACCATTCGCATCCTACACCAGACCATACCTCACACCTCACGCTCTGAACTTACACCACAGGGAATCTGACTGGTTCTGCAGTTATTTACAACACAAAAGAAAGCACAATTCTGCAGATACCGAATAGGGCCCTGATACAACTGTGAGTACTGCTCTTCCGCGCTACTGGAAGCTGAGCATACAGCTACGTATCTTATAAGGACTACAAAAGCTTTCGACGACAAAATGCAGAAGCAAATCCTCTGTCCCGGAGGCGTAGCGCTGTTCCGCGACCCTTTCTCGCTAAGTGCCGAAAACGCGCAGGTAAGTCAGAGCCGGATCAGCAGCACCCCACCTCCGGCAGGCCAACGTCCCACTTACCCAAGTGGACAGCGCATGTCCAAGGTAAAGCAGAAACTTGGCAGACGTGAAATAGCCAACCAAGGCTCCTAAACGAGAAAGAGACAGAGGCTGAGGCCGGCCGGCAGCGGCTCCCCGCCCTCGCCGCTCGGGACCCGCCGCGGCTCCTCGCCCGCCCCCCGCCCCTCCGCTCCCGGCAGCCGAGCGGGGCCGCCGCCGCGCACTGACCGCAGCGCCGCTGCCGCTCGCCCGCCGGCCCGGCTTCCCGCGCCATGCCGGCCCGCTCCGCCGGGGCGCGACGACGGGAGGAGAAAAGGGGGGACGCGCGGCTTCTCTCCGTGTTGCCTTCCCCGACTTAGCTAGCACTGTAGCTGAAGTCGGAAAGCGCTAGCCTTATGCGCCGCTGCCGGCGGGACCCTGCGGCGCGGAGAAGCCCAGCGCCGGCCCGGTGGGCTCGACGCGGCTCTGCCGGAAGCGCGAAGGCTGGGGGCTCGGAGCCGCGCCGCGCTTTGTAGGCGGCGGCGGCGAGCACCGCCCCGCTCCGCACCGCCCCGCTCCGCACAGCACCGCCCCGGGGCGGCCCCGGTCCCTGCTCCGCGGCGGGCCGGGCAGCCACAGCACCCGCGGCTCGCGGCGTTCTCGTTTGGTTTGCTCCTTCCTTGTCTCCTTTTCCTGACATCTTTCAAAACGCCAGATTCTCAAATATTCGAACGCTTCACGAAGCTGAAGTTGTAAGATAAGCACCGAGTATCGCAAGGCTATGGCTCGCACGCCCGTAAACGACAGTGCTCCCAATTGTTTGCTTTCAGAAGGCAAAATAAACAAACAAAGCCTATTTCACTGAAAGAAGCTGCTCTTCTAATGAAGATGGTGAATCCATTCCTCTGATGCTAGCTTAGATCAAGTAGCCTATTTCCTACCGTGAGATCCCTCTCCTCCTCTCCTCTCCTCTCCTCTCCTCTCCTCTCCTCTCCTCTCCTCTCCTCTCCTCTCCTCTCCTCTCCTCTCCTCTCCTCTCTCCACCAGCAAAAATAGCATTTTTATAGACTTAGAAAATAGTAAAAAATAGTCAGAACATGAAGATCCTCAGAAAATATTTGAGGAGTACCTGTTCTGTCCTTCTGAAAACTTTGTGACTGCTCCTGTTTACCAGGGCTGAAATGCATTTTTCATTGTGTAATACTGCAAAGTTCCTTCCTCTGTAGTGTAAAATCTTTTTTCTCCTTTTCCCCTACTATATAGGCCACCAAATGTCTTACATAATAGACCAATAGTCTGTTCTGGTTTTGCCACTCTTGTGACCCTGTTCAAAGTATTCGTTGTATTAATTAGATGACTTTCTAGGCATGAATCACAGTTTATCCTTTGCATAAAGGGGAATTATCTTGGTAAAAAATAACACAAATAAAAATTCATATAAACAGAGGAAGCCTGAAATTACTACTTTCATGGGACTGGTCATCCTAGACAAGTTAAGTGCTTCTTCCCATGGAGTTCTCCTTAGAAAAAGCACAACACCTTTTCTCACATCGGCTTAAAAAATGTTCCTGATTGCTTGTCTCATATAGTCACACTGCTTAAACTGTATTCTTCTTTACTAACAGATAAAAAAAAAAAATCCTAAAATCTTTACGATTTTCCTAAAACTTCACATTTTAATCTCCCTTATTAGATAAATAATCTAGAGTATATCAAAATCACCTGATACTGAGCTACTGTCACATCCACTTCTCAACTGCCTGTCCTTGCACCTTCGCCGGCAGTTCAGGTGTCCGCAAGCAGAAGCACTGAATGAGCTCTACATTCTTCTGGAATCTAATTGTCTTGCACCTTAAGCAGTGAGCTCTGTGGCAGCACTGAGAGATGCCTGTGTGATCCACACAGGGCAAGACAGCTGACTGCACCTTTTTTATCCCTGTACCCAGTGGCATTTCTGGTTGCTGATACAATTAATAACTGAATGAGATGGATCTGGGCTCTTACCTAGCCTGCCTGCTACTGTACCTAATACAGCAGCAGCAGAACTGGATCCTGAAGATCCAGTTCTGTATAGTAACAACAGGAATGCAGACCAGAAAAGCACTGCTGCTTATACCTTTCTTAGCTACTAGAGAACAACTTGAATTTAAGTTCAAATGAGCATTTCTGGTTGAATGCTCACTGTACTTTACACATGTCCATTAGAGTCTGTAGCTGAAATCACACAGTTCTCCTGAGTTTGCCCCTACTTTGCTACATGATCTTTCCCCAGATGCTCATTACACTGTCTGTGCCCAGGTTTTTTTTCCATAAGAGGGGGAATCACACAACATTGCTTACAATGCTGACCTCAGACATTAGCTTAAGCCCTTTGATTTTTACATCTAAAAAGATGCTAAATCCCAAAGATTCTTGTATTTGGACTTACATCTCCAATAACTCCAAACATTATTAGATTTCTTGGTGAATATTTTCGAATGAATTTGTGACTATTTTTAAAGAGGCAGGTCCTGCTACTGGAGGACTGGCTCCCAGGAGTTTTGCACCACAATATTTACAGTTTTCAGATGCATTTAGGGAGGTGTTTTATAGCTGGAAGCTGTGCAAGAGGAGTTACCTGTACTTGGTATAGACCAGACTCAGCATTCTTACAGCAGTAATTTACATAATCGGAAAGCAGTGGATTTGAGCCCAGGCCTGACTAATTGTCACTGACAGAATGGAATTGGAGACCAAAAAAAAAAGTGAGATTTTGGAAACATGAGGCCTTTCCTTTGTGCTGAAAGATGTCTTTAGATGCAGAATGTCTGCAAATAACAGTTACTCAGTTTCCAGAGGTTATAAACAGTAGGCTTCAAATTTTCCTTTACAACAAGGGCAATCAGTATGTGTAAAAGCATGGATTATGTTTGCAGGGGTTGACCAAAACTATAGGACAACCTTGCTATGCAGATAATGCTGGCTTTTCCACCATTCACTGGAATGTACGTTTGTGGGCAACCCAGTAGCCTCTTCTATTGCAAGGCCAACCCCAGCCTACTTATTAACTTACCTACATCTCTGCTTTTCCCTAGGTAGATGTAATTACTTATTTCATTATTGCCTTTTCCAGATTATTAGACAGCCCAAAAATAATTTATCTTTGATTTGTTTGTTTTTCAAATGAGGAAAACCCTTTCAGAATTTCTACTAGCTGTGATTGTAGCTATTACAAAGGCATTTCATTCTTAATAGAAATCTCTCAATTCTTTACAGCCTCCCTCTGGAGAGGGAGAATCAACAAAGCCTGTATTTATGTTATAGCCTTCCCAGTCAATTTTTTTCAGTGGATAAAAAGTTCTAAAATTCCTTCTGCTTTCTTCAGAATATGATTGATGTTGTCTCTCTAGTTATGAAGAATGAAGAAATGTAACTATTGGAACAGTTAAAAATTTTTAAGCTTCAGATTAAATCTACCAAGATTTTAATTCAGAAGACACAAATATTCTTCAAAATGTTTCTAATGAGACACCTGTCCATAAGTAAGAAAGTCATCCTACATTTAACCTGCCTGGCAGAAAGGACAACTCAACTACAAGATGTCAACAACAGAAAAGGTTTTAGCAGCGGGTATGTGCATAACAATGATGCAAAGAATATTCAAAGATACACTTCCAGGAAAGACACATCTTGAAAAATAAGAAAGAATATGTTTGGCATTAAACCACTGCCCACATCAGTGGCAGCTGGTTTCTGTACGTGCAATAGACCGTCCAAATCTAGAGCAACAGCAATTTTGCAAAATACTTCCAACAAATGTCATCTTGGATTCAACCAAAGAGGTGTGAATAATAGTAAAAGAACTCATGTGAGCTCAGATATTACACTCAGCTGAGAGGTTTCATGATGTTTAATTATTGTGATGCTACCATTCTTCACAAAGTCTCCCCTCTTAGTGTGCAAAGTGGTTTTTTACTCATTAGTTTACACAAGAACGTTTTTTAGAGGGTGAAGCACAGAACCCCTGACCAAGCTGGTCCCTGCTGTGACTCAGGAGTGGAGCACCATGGCTCTCTTGCTTACAAGCCCATCCATCCAGCTCTCAGAACTAACATCTACATACCGGCTGACACTCAGAGTCCAGAACTCACATAACATTTGCACAGAGAACCAGGCAGGGATGAGCTGGAGAAAAGTCTCTTGAGTTTGAGTTTCTTAGGTTTTATGCTCCCATTCGGAGAGAGATCTTTTGACTCAAAAGCCATTATTTTCACTAATACCTAGGTAACCTGAATATCTACACATATCTACATTAAGGAAATGTCTAATCCCTCCCACCTTTCTCAAAGATTCATGGTGTTATGTGTCTAGTGGTACCTCACTACCAGTGATGGATGTCTGTGACAAAACCTTTAGGGGAACCTTTTAGGGGCTCTCAGAATGTAGCAGTTTATTTGGGTGGGATATGATTGATATAGCTTATATAAAATTCCCAATCAGAAGGCTGAACCAGCTCTCTGATCACATGCTAAATCCAAGACATTTGTAATAGAAGTGATGGCCTAGCTAGTGAACAAAAGAACTTGTTCAAAATGCTGTTATCTGTAAGAACGTGTTTCAGAGACTCCTTTTGTCAGATTATTTTCAGTCATAAGGAAACACTGTACCCAAAACACAAATAATGACAGCATCTTTTACCAACTGAGAAAGAAAGAAATCAAAATAAAGGAAAACACCCCATCTACTAATAACAAGTGAATGTTTCACACTTAAATGACAGCAGTAGCATTTCTGCAAACTCCTTCTAATGTCCTGAACATTAATTCTCAAGAGTGCAAAATTATTGACTTGAATTTGAACGCTTTGTACTGATCAGCAGTCTGAAACGACTCTCAAGAGTAAGATAACGGCCTATTTGCAAGCCAAGTTCATTTAGTTTAGTTTTCTTCATTATAACTTGCTGCAATCTGTCACCTCCAGGGTGTCACTGTTCTGTTACTGAACAATACAATGATGTTAAAGGAACAGTATTTGGTTTCCTGTCCGTATTTCAGTAG